GTTTTTAAGAAGAGACTGGACAGCCATTTGTCTGAAATGGTGTAGGGTTCCTGCCTGAGCAGGGGGTTGGACTCGATGACCTCCAAGGTCCCTTCCAACTTTATTATTATTATTATTATTATTATTATTATTATTATTATTATTATTATTATTATTATTATTATTATTATTATTATTATTATTATTATTATTATTATTTTGGGAACAGAACCATCTACTTACTAGTTTTTCTCTGTGTTGTTTTCAGGTAAGTTGTTTTGGTACCAGGTGCATTACGACATGCACGTCCGGACACACACACGAGAGCATCTCCATTACTGCTCGCAGTGCAACTATTCCTCCATCACCAAAAACTGCCTTAAGCGCCACGTCATCCAGAAGCATAGCAACATTTTGCTAAAGTGTCCAACCGAAGACTGCGATTATTCTACCCCGGATAAGTACAAACTCCAGGCCCATCTCAAAGTGCACTCAGAATTGGTAAGCCTGGAATTTTAATAGTACCTTTGTTTCAGCTTTCAATTTATTTACACGTTTACTAGATTTTAAAACTACAGGTAATCCTCGACTTACAGCAATTCGTTTAGTGACCGTTCGGAGTGACAATGGCACTGAAAAAAATGACCAGTAACAATTTTTCACACTTACAAGCATTGAAGCGTCCTGATGGTTCACATGGTCAAAATTCAGCCGCTTGACAACTGACTCGTATTTATGACGGTCGTAGTGTCCGTCCCAGGGTCATGTGATCACCTTTTACGACTTTCGGGCAGGCGAAGTTGATGGGGAAGCCAGATTCACTTCACAACCGCATTCACCTAACAACAAGACAGATCATACAATGGGGCAAAACTCACTTAACAATTGTTTCACTTAGCCACACAAATTTTTGGGCTCAGTTGTGGTTGTAAGTCGAGGACAACCTGTACCCTCTCTTTCCCAGGGCGATTCCGGGCGGTGTACAAATAAAATAATAAAAAATAAATAAAAACGGTGCATAAAATTTGAAGGAGGCAAGCAATTGTTAAACATCAATTGACCTGTGGGGATTTTGAACCCAAAATTTGCCCCATTTTCTGCAGGGCGAGGCTGACATGGAAAGGTCTATCATTATATTGTTTGTATTTCTCTAGAAATAGATGTTACCAGCCTGCCAAACGTCTCCAGCTCAACGGTACCACCTTATTTGTTCCTAAGTTCAGGCATGGGAAAGTCTGAATTTCGGGACTGTGATTATGGATTGGTTGAATTACAAAGGAAAAAAGTTGCATACCGTTAGAGCATCCCAACCTCTGGATGAGTTCCTTATACCCTGGGCAGATTTGGTATCTGAATAAAGTGGTTGCATTTGCATTATGCTGCATAATTCAACTTCGGGCTTCTTTTTAGATTAAGTAATCGAGAGATTTGCAGAACTTGGGAAACATTTCTTGGCTTGATCACTGATGGATTAAAAAAAAGGGCAGCTTATGGGGAAAAGCAACTCACTGTTAATATCTATATACCCTAATGCAGGGCTTTTCAACCAGTGATACGGGTACCACCTGTGGTACATTGGCACCTGGTAGGTGGTATGCGACCATCCTAGAAAAGTGGTAGCGGGGGAGGGGAATGAGCTGAACCGGTGGCAGCACCACACAAGCCTGAGCAAGAGATGGCTGGAGATGCAGGGCTGTCAGGGCTCAGTGGAAGCGCCAGGATCAGTGCCGCTTTCCAGCTGATCGGCGTTTCTTCGGGGCTGTCAGGGCTCAGTGGAAGCGCCAGGATCAGCGCCAGGATCCAGCTGGAGCTCAGCGCTGATCCTGGTGCTTCTGCTGAGCCCTGAAGAAGCACCAATCAGCTGGAATGTTGCAGCATCTCCAGGGTCTTGTGATTTACATTCAGATGCTTGGCAACTGATTCATATTTATGACGGTCACAGTGTCCCAGGGTCATGTGAAGTGACCAAAACCTGCTGCAAAAACCCAGCAGACGGGAGGAATAAAAACCAAACACCCCCCCACCCCACCCCTGCTGCCAATCCTCAACAGAAATGCTCAGAACAATGAAAACCTCGGACAGGAGGAAGAGCGCCGCCGGGCGGGCAGGCAGGTATCTTGTTGGCTGTGGCTTGGGGGGCACTTTTTTCAGTGCCATTGTAACTTCTAAGAGTCACTAAGCGAACTGTTGTAAGTCGAGGACTACCTGTACTTTATCACTTTTTTCCTTTTTTTTTTTGTCATCAAGTTTTTGACACCTTGCTAGGCGACTGGTGGTACTCGGATGTTGCCATATCCTAAAAGTGGGACAATGGGTGAAAAGGTTGAAAAGCCCTGCCCTAATGATCTGTTCACTAGATGACATGCCTGTATGGAAATACAAATGACATCTCAGTTATACACATTAAATCCTACAAAAATACAGAAAGGTCATGAAAATGACCCTTCCTTCTTTCCTTCCTTCCTTCCTTCCTTCCTTCCTTCCTTCCTTCCTTCCTTCCTTCCTTCCTTCTTGCCTTCCTTCCTTCTTTCCTTCCTTCCTTCCTTCCTTCCTTCGTTCCTTCCTTCCTTCTTCCCATTCCTTCCTTCCTTCCTTCCTTCCTTCCTTTCTTTCTTTCTTTCTCTCTCTCTCTCTCCCTCCCTCCCTCCCTTCCTTTCTTCCTCGATTGAGTTGAGGCAAATTTATTCGGCAATACATATAACCTCCCTCTCCTTAACCTTTTTGAAGAAAAGAGAAATGTATATAAAGTTGCCTCTGTGGACTGCTAATTTTCTGGCCTTATCTAGGAGCAGATTGCCTCCAGCCATGTCCCCAGCATCCTTGACTAAATCTCTTTGCCCCCCTGGCACACCAACCATATGCCCTTCAGTCATGCTTATCAAAGTCCTCCCCTTCCCTTCGGCCTTAATTATCTTTTCATCTTCTCTCCTTGTTACATTGGCCAAAGTCTCAGTAAGCCCATAGACAACAAAAAGCCTGAAAAATAATGTTACTTGCTTTTGCAGCTTCCTTGGACGTGAGCCTTGTACAGGATTTATGTAGAGAGGAAGGTGGCTGGGACCAATTTGTTTGTGCCCTTTGTTTCCAGGATGAGATACAATCAGTGGAAGGAGAAGCGATAGCCCTGAGAAAAAGCAACAAGAAACCCTTTTATTGCATAGAACACAGAATCACAGGGCTAGAAACGACCTCAAAGGTCTTCTAGTCCAACCCCCTGCTCAAGGCTGGAGACCTCATATTATCCTGGTCAAATGGCTGTCCAATCTCTTCGCATGAGCCGTGGTGGCACAGTGGTTAGAATGCAGTATTGCAAGCTAATTCTGCTGACTGCAGACCGCCAGCAGTTCCGCAGTTCAATTCTCACCCGCTCAAGGTTGACTCAGCCTTCCATCCTTTCATGGTTCGTAAAATGAGGACCCTGATTGTTGGGGGTCAATATGCTGACTCTGTAAACCGCTTAGAGAGGGCTGTAAAGCACGGTGAAGCGATATATAAGTCTTAAGTGTTTTTGCTATTGCTATAACCCTCCAGTGTTGGAGCACTTAGAAC